GGAAGGCTCAGATGGAAAGTTAAGCAAGGTGTACGGTAGAAGAGCGCACATAGAACCAATCAATGGTCATTTGATCGTGTGGCCAGTAGATGAACACACGTCGCACATTGGATGAACGCCAGAGGGAGTATTTAATTTCCTTTCCTTCACCAAGCCTCGTTTTTCCCTTTTTTGCTCCCTCTCTACTCTCTCACTTCTCTCTCTATCCTAAAAAAACGCTCTTCATTCTCTCTAAAACCCCAGGCGATCGGAAATCGCCTCACTGGTTGGAAATCGTTTTTGTCCATGGCTCCTCCTTTAACCATCCCAAACCACCGTATGAACTCAGGTTTCTGGTTGAAGCTCAATTGGAACCTTCAAATGGAACCCAAGAGCTCTAGGTTAAAACCTTATAACCCTAACCTTTTGGTCATAAACCCCAACCCTAGCACCGTGGGTGGCCGTTGAGGCCGCCGTGAATAATTGAAGTTCACCGGGAACTTCATCATTTTTCTAGAACACCTTAGAACCCTAACACAAAACCTATGAACCTTAACCCTTAACCCCAATTTTTCCAGAAAACCCCTAATTCAACACAAAAATTCCAAAAATCCAGCAATCATAACAACAATCAAAACCCTAAGCTAAGTTCAAGCTTACCTCTCTTGCAGTGATTCTCGTAGTAATTTAAATTATGTTTTCCTTTTCTCTTCTGATTTCTCATTTTCTTTCTCGCAAGTAGAAGGGACTCTCAGAAGCAATGAGGAATCAAATGGATTCAACTCTCAAATTCTTCTTCTTCTCCTTAATTTTCAATTTTCGGTCCCATTTCCTTGTATTAGCTCAGGGTTTATATAATCTTAGGGATTAGATGAATTAGGAAATAATATTAAGTTTGATTGTTGCTACAATTCCAATTGGGCTTTTGACATCTTAGTGAAGACGAATGATAGATTGGGCGCAGCTTGCCAAGGGTTTGAAAACCCTAGTTGACATAGTCAACTTTGCCCCAGAAAATAAAATAATAAATAAAATATAAAAATGAATAATAACATTAAATAAATAACTAATGAAAATATAAAGCGATTTAGAAATGTATATAAAAACATTGACCCCATGTCAACTATGAACAAAAACAATTAATATATTTTGATAACAAAAAAATGAAATTGAATAATTGAAGAAAAATAATTAATAAATATTGACTCTAGTTAACCAAACAAATAAATAAAAATATTTATATTTTATTTAAAACTAAGTTTAACATGGATTTCCTAAAATTTAATGAGCCGATGATAAGCCCAATTAAGATAATGTGACAATAATTTTATGAATAAACCCCTCAAATTAACTTCTCCTATATTTAAATCAAAATATAAATAAATGTTAGTATGCATGATAATATACAAAAATTAGTATAAAAATAACCTAATAGTCCTAGTGAAAATAAATTTTAACTATTAGCACAAAGGTGGACAAATTTGGGGTATGACACATGAGTTTTTCAATGAATCTGCAAACGGAGTTCTGGATTAACATGCATGGGAGATTCCTTTGTTAGGATTTTTAGGGTTTGTTTGTCGGGGAAGCTTTAGATCGTCTGAGCAGGATTTTTGGGGTGTCCTCACTTGATGCTTGCATAAGGGCTTTGTTTGAGGACATCATTCTCGTGTCTTCGTACACCCTTTCACTTGACTAGCAGTGGAAGGGTGGATTTGATTTGACCTTCGAATTCACTTTTGTCCTCTGCTTTTCAGGTGAAAACAATAACAGATTCTAAAGAAGAAATTATAGTCGAGGAGATCGACACTTCCGGGGAAGTGCGAACGACCAAGGGCCCCATTGAGTGGATTGCTCCAGAGCCGTGGGGGGTAGCTTCGTTTTTCTCTTCCTTCCCTCAGGGGGCTTTTATGACTGTAGGAGGCAAGACAAGTTCGTCGAATGTTGGGGAAGATTGGAAGATCTTGTTTCCTGGGGAGAACGAGTGAATATGCTCGCTGTTCGAGACTGATAGGTTTCCCATGAAAGAATACATTTTCAGGGAGATGGGGCTTCATTTGTCGTTCTCGGATCTTCAGGTGGAGGTTATTGCCCATCTGAATTTGGCGCCCTCACTGCTCAATCCGAACTTGTTGGCCTTTACGCAAGCGTTCGAAATTGTTTGTAATCACATTAAGATTGGGGTAACTGCCTCCCTAATCTTTGCATGTTTCCATCTTCAACGGCAGACGACCTCAGAGGGTCTGTTCGGATGGGTTTCCTTGAAGCAATTGAGGCAGTTATTCAAGGCATACTTGGAGTCTGTCTGAACATTTAAGAACATGTATTATGTGGCTTTGCCCGTATCTCAGAGGGCCATTGATTCCTTACTCTGCTGGGAGATTATGCTGGGCAATGATGGGAAGACCCTACTGAGCGAGGACGGTAGGCAAAGGAAACACCAAGTCCAGAGATTCTGCTTTGTATGAAGCAGGGATTATTTTGATCAACAGACTGGGGAATACATCGTTCTCCCTGATGACTTGGAAGAGGATGACTGGGCGAGCTACAACAAGCTAGTGGATTTCGTCAACAGCTTTGCCCCTGCCCAATGCATGACCAAGCGTGGGGAAATCATTCTTAAAGAGGATGAAGGCCTATGCTCACGGCTCGACTTATTAATACCAAGAGGCTCCTTGATTATACTACCCGCGAGGAGGCCCTATCACTTTTAGGCAGCTTTTGCATTGTTTTTACCTCGTTGTTTGTTTTCTTTATTTTACTAACTTGTCTTTGTTGCTTGTCGTAGAGAAAATGTCGAACCCACAAGAGCATATAGTCAGGATGGTCACCACTAATAAGGCAAGGCAGCTGGAGAAAAGTCATCTTTAGAAGAGCATCCTAGGCGGCGGCGTGGTTCTGCCTTCGACAGGTTCGGAGAACTCCTACCAACGAGCATCCTTCTCCTCAGCAATTAAGTTCGGCCAGAAATTGTCACTGAGTTGAAGGAGACACCATGGACTTGACCTTGGAGAGGTCTCTGGACAAGTATGAATTGCATCCTTGTTGGCTGCAAAGGAACTACTTTGAGGGGGGGTCTCTCTCTGAAGGTTCTGCGGGCAAAATCTCTACACTTGGAGAATTTGGATCAACCGAGCAAGAGGAAAACTCTTGCCCAAGATGTGGCTGCCATGATGAGGATATTGGATATGGCAGTTGAAACAACCGGCTGAAAATCATTAAACAATGAAGTCGCCATCGAACGTCTTTTATCCCACATGTAGGGAAAGGTAAACATCGAGAAAACCTGAGAAGGGAGAAGTCATAGTCTTGCGACCGAGAGATCGGGTAAGGGAGTCTGTTACGCGAGGGGAAGGTATTAGCACCCCACACGCCCGTAGTACTCTACGGTATCCACTCTTGTTATCTATCTTATGGGTGTGTTTAATCTATGCTTACTGTTTATTATACTACTGGAGGAATGCATGCAAAAGAAAGGAGAAAAAGAATGTAGGGAAAATAAAATTGTGCTCGCTTGGGCCCTACCCCAATGCCTACGTATCCGTTTTGAGGAATCAGAGCTACCGTAGTTCGGCTCATATGTTTTTGTTTGTTTGTGTTTTATATGGACGAAGTTAATTCCGCCTTCTGCCGCAGCTCGACCTTTGGAGACTTATGCGTTGGCACAGAAGTAAATTAATCGTGTCCTTACCTGGAAAGGGTTTTCAAGAGAAGAGGTGCACGAGCGCACAAAATATTTGAATTGGTTTATATTTTGTTGTAGATGTTTTTTGTGGACGAAGTTAATTCCGCCTTCTGCCGCAGCTCGACCTTTGGAGACTTATGCGTTGGCACAGAAGTAAACTAATCGTGTCCTTACCTGAAAAGGGTTTTTTAGAAAAATGGTGCTCGAGCGCACAAAAGATTTGAATTGGTTTTGTATTTTTGTTGCAGATAATGACTGATTGACCTCAAGAGAAAGATATTAGCCACTTTTCTACTTAGCCATGAAAGGGGTCTTTGAGAATTGAACCACACCTATGCTTGAGATGGAGAACAATAAGATCGAGAAGAGACCCACTTATCATTTCCCGTACTAAGCAAAAGCATGATTCTCATCAATAGTTTTAAAGTGTTTTGAATTTTGAAAGAAAAGAAGTTTTAGTTTTAGACGCATATGCGAAAGGGAAAGAAAAGTTAAAGGGACTAGCTTACTTCTAAATCTAATGTTATTGTGCATTATTAGCCCTAAGTCAAGGATGAATGGGGGAATTCTACCTAACATTAGCATGTTTGGATTGCGATAAAGTACGAAAATGAGGAATAAAATAGATTTGTGACGATACCGAACGGAGAAGGTCCGTTGCCTCTTCGACGCCACGCAAGTGATAAGAAAATTCTACCAGAGTTTCCTCGAACGAGTGATTGAAGAATTAACCCCGGGCATTCCACATTGCAAGAGTTATATTGATGCTATCACAAAAATCTTGACTAAAAAATGGCAATAAAAATGATTACCAAATATGAAAAATAAAATAGTAAAGAAACTCTAATCGAAATTCTAAAAAAGAAATTCCAAAGAATTCTAAAATATTCTATTATTTTGTATCATTCCACCACCAATTAATCAACAATTAATAGGAAAAAAAATAAATTTAAACCAAATAATTAAATGAGAGGTGAAATCAGGGGGTGCAGGCTAATTCAAGGAGTGTGGCTTAGTAAGGGCGCTAGGCCCAAGTAGTGAGTCCACAAGTAATTTTTTTGCAAATAAAAGACCATCAGAAAAAAAAAAGTAATGGGCCTAGTCAGGGAGCAAATCGGCCCAGCCTCAAATGCACCGACAATCCAGTCCAATTTTGTTTACTTATTGAATTCAATTTTTATTTATTTATTTATTGTTATGCTATTAAAAAATGATAAAAGAAATTAAAACTAATAAAATTAAAAAACATAAAAATTGAAAAGGGAATAGGGTTAGGAAGACTGAGTTGCTTTCTTCTTCTTCGCGGTGCATACCTTCCTCTTGCTTCCTCTTCCGTCTAGCACCATGACGCGGCTTCTCCTTTCCTCTTGCTTCCTCTTCCGTCTAGCACCACGACGCCACCGCCTCTCATCTCTTCCAATCCTCTTCTTTGCGAAACACGAGCAACGCCACTTCCTTCTTTCTTGCGGCTCAGCGGCGGCGATGGAGATGCGTTTTCCGGGGAAGGTGTGAACTCAAGTAAGCTCTTCTTGTTTCTTCTTGCCTCCTTCTTTGCTCCTTCCACTTCTTCTACCTGTTTCTGCGTGTTTTCTTTGTGCGTGTTACCGTTGTGAGTGAGGTAGTGTAGTTGTTGTTGCATGTTGCGGTTGAATCGATGTGTTGCATATTCAGAGAAATATTGAGAGGGTTGATCATTGATGACGAAGGCTACGATAAAGATGATGTAGAACGACGGAGGTTGAAGTGGTGATGTTGTCGAAGCTTTGCGTGTGTTGCGGTTGATGATGCAGTTTTGACGAAGGTTCTCGTGGAAAAGATGAAGGTGCGGAATCGGCTTTGCAGAGAGAGGACCGAGAATTTGTGAATTCTTCAGAAATCTTTTTGGTGAGTTTTTTTGTGAAAATTCTATCTGTGTGTAATCTCTCTGAGTTTTTGTTGTGGAGTAATATCTCTGTTGAATAATTGTATGAGGAGTCTGTGGTTTCTGATTTCTGAATAAAAATGGTATCAATAATCGTATCTTTGAGATTTTTCTGTGGTTTGTAAATAATCGAGCTCTCTTTTGTGAATGATCCTATACGGTTACCAAAATTGGTTATGAAGTTATTTAGGAGCTGTTTCAATCAATTAGTTTGAATTAGTTAGGAGGTTAGCAGGGTGGTTAACAGTTAGAAAAGCTGTTAGAAAAGTTTGTTAGGAAATTGGGAAATGGAAAGTTGGTTATAGTTAGTTATGGGTTGTTAGGTGTTATGGTTTGTTTGGTAATTCTAATAATTGTTTCCTTTTTTGTAAAAATGGTTGAAAGTTTGATAAGGTTAGTGGATGGGAAGTGTAATGTATGTGTTATGATTTTGATAAATTGGTTTGATTTAAGTACATAACACTTGGTGTAATTGCTGATTTTTGTACTTCAAATTGAATTAACTTGAATATACATTGGCACTGAACTGGCTTGGAAAATGGTTATTTATGCAGGTTTTCTTTTGGTATGAAACATGGACTGAGGCTTGGACATAACCAGGTTGGAATGGGGCAATCTTGGAAGATAGTGGCTTGAAGATAAATAAGTTTAGAAATGATGGAGACCTCGATTTAGAATTCTTTAGACCACTTGAATATTTAATGTAAATTCTTGTTTTTGATTTAGTAATCTTGGATGTAAACGGCCTTTTGAAATCTTCTCTTGTAATGTTCTAACGACACCGCTCGTAAATTTCATGGTTATGACCTCGAATGAACGAGAATGAATTTGGATAACCCTTTGACAAATCATGAGTAATGCTTTAGAACTTGTAAAGATCATATCATTGAATGAATGTGAACCCTTGAATTTTAATGATGAAGCCCAAATATTCCAAGTAGTCTTTTCTTCCAAATTGCCTTTTGTATCTCCAAGATCTTTTAATTTTATGTCACATATAACTTCATGGTCGTGATATGAATTTGATAAGAGCCTTTGCCAACAACAATCTTGTAGTATCGAGTTTCTTTACTTTTGAATGAAAGCATGCCTAAACATCTTCAAATGAACGAACGAGCCTCGCATCTTTCTTAATCCTCACTTCAAAACTATAATTGAAGAAGCTTTAGATTTTGATCTTAATGTATTCTGAAATGAAGTCCCCCAAAGCATATTATATCACAAGTAAGCGAATAAACCCGACGAAAAGCTTTGCATCATAAAGTGTACAAACTTCCAATTTGCGAATAGTATCCCATTGAATCTTCTTCTCTTGCCTAGAGCTCGTGAACATACAAGGAATAGATAAACCTCATTTGATGAAGAAAGGACCATTTGAAATATTAACTCGTAAAAGATACGATTTTCTTATATGATAACCTTTTTGTATGACATATTGAAGCATCCTTGAACAAGATCTTAATGGCCATGGATATATCAAAATCTTCAACCATTTGCACTTTAAGTAATTATAGAACCCCTTTGGAATTTATTGAAGAACAAATACACATGGAACCCCTCTTGAAGTCTATATGATCGTGGAAATAAATCATCATTCATGTGGAGGTGATAAGTATAAGACGATGGTCTTTACTGCTTAAGCTTGCAGCCTTTCGAGATAGCCTTAGGATGACTCACAATTGAAGCGGCAAATATTTGATGAGAACCAAAAATTGTAACACTAAAAAGAAGTCCACATTGTTTAGAGGAAGAGAGGCTCAAGATAACCACAAGATCGAGCCTTAATCTAATGACCCCCAGTTGAAGCATAATGGACGAAAAATCCTAATTCTTAATCCTTGAAGAAAGATCGCAACTTGATGTCGAGAAGAAGGAATACCCCTGTAATTTAATGATAAAGAAGTCCAGAAAATAAAACCCTAGCTTCAAACAAATTATTAATGGAGAAATCAACCGAAACAAGCTTGTGCGAAGATGAGAGCCTTAAAGCCATACACCAACCCTTATTCCTCAAAATCCATGATCTTATGCCAATTTATTGACTAATGATGCATGATGTGTTAGATGACCTAATGGAAATTATATATGTGAGAAAAATGCAAAAAATGCGTAAGCCAGATAGGAAGTAAAAGGGTAGGACAAATTTGGGGTATTACATCAGTGGTCTATACCAAGGAAGGGCACCCTACCATCAAAGAGGTGAGGGACCTTCGTGCAGCCAACGTGGCTCTTTGGGTGAAGGTGACAAAGTTGAAGTCTGATAAGGAGGACTTAGAAAAGCAGAGGACTAAGGAGGTGGCTCAATTGACCTCTGATAAGAAAAATCTCTAGGTAAAGGTCGATGCTTTGGAAGCTGACGTGGCCTCGACCAAAGATGAGACCGAGGAGTTGAAGCAATTAAAGACCCATGCTGATTTGGTTGCCTGCCTCTATATGGTCAAAGAGGATCTCATGGAAATTGGCAAGGAGAGATTTAACAATGCAGTAGAGTAACTAAAGATCGCTAATCCTAATGTCGATCTAAGCATGGACGGGACTGGGTTTTTCTATAACATGGTTGACGAGAAGATTATATCCACGACATCCTTAAGTTTAGTGAAGAAGAGGGAGGGGTGAACATCCTACCCAAGAGGATCCCATCTACAAAGAGTAACTGCAGCCTGACAACTGATTAGCTTCTCTGTTATTCTCTTTTGTTCGTCTGCGTGTCGTAGTTATAATATTTTCTTTGGGGCTTTTTCCTAGTTTAAGGTAACACTCGAACAACGTCGATCCTTGTGGCCGCTATTTTGGTTATTTTTTGGATAGGGGCTTGGCCCTTTTTATGTAATACTTTGACAATTGCGGCCTCTGTTGTCGTTTTAATTTTTCCTTTTATTTATTTCTGCATATGCTCATTGTAATACGACGGGAGAACTGACTTGGGATGTTTTGCGTTTAATTACAATTGTTGCGGTTAGCAAGATTCGTCACTGACTTTTCTTTTATCTAAAAGGAAAGGTGGAAAAGAACAGGAAAGACCTTTGAGATTATTTCTTGAATTCGGGGGGTGGATTATGAAAAGGGAAGATATTAGCACCCTTTTCATCCATAGTTATCTATGGGCTCTTAGTTGCTTGCTAGATCAAGTCCCCAAACACGCTTCAAATTCAAGGTAAGTCTTTCTGACTTTGCATATTTTCATTCAGGACATCATTAATATGTAAATATCATAGTGTTGATGCTGACCATATCATTGCATAAGTAGAAGAAACCGTGGATCAGAACTTCTTAAATAAAGCTAGGCTCAGAATTAGGATTAGAACTTCTATGAATTGTTGTGCGTTTATCTTTCTGATTTGCTGTTAAGAACTGAATAAATTGCTGATATGCTGATTAATATGAGGAAAGAGTTGAAATGTAACACAAAGCTTCTGAGTTTCTCTTTACTGTTTTAACACGAAAACTTATGGGATTTCGTATTGTTTCAACACAGAACTTCAGATTTTCACTCATTGTTTAGCACGACACAGAACTTCTGAGTTCTTCTCACTGTTTTAACACACCAGAATTCCTAGGTTTTTACACTGTTATGATACGGTAACAGAACTTCTGACATTTTGCTCACTGTCTAAACACCACCCAGAACCTCTGTTTTCTTTCCCTCTAACATTTCTTGCAGGACCTCAGAGTGTATCAATCCAGAACTTCTGATTCCCCTTGACGTTTCTTTCTGAATCACAGCGCGTCTGACATCCGAACTTCTGATCCCTTTTGTTTTGCTTACAACAGTACGCTGATTCTATCTCTCATTATTTTCCATTTTTATCATTTTCAATATCAATACTCTTTTTATTAATATAAAAAAGACATAAAAATATTTCCTTTTTATTAATTAATTTTTTTTATTCATTAAGACAAAAAACCACTTTCAAAACAAATTCTCTTTCTTCTTATATTGTACATTTCAATATGGTTGTAATAGTTAAATAGGATTTAAATTCTTGCAACCCCCCATTTGTAAATTTGTACCCCCATCCCTAAATGATGTAATAGCGTAGGACATTTACATTTCTGTAATTTATTGTTTTCAAGTATAAATGCTAGTAATTAGGGTGTGTATGGCAAGATATAAAATTAACAAATAGATAACCCTAATCAAGACAAAATGCATGTAAATCAAACACACTTACACACTAGCACCCTTAGGGTAAATCCCGCTTTGTTGCCTTTCGGAAAATAGTCATGTCCCTCGAATATGGGCGTTTTAGTAAAGACCATCGATAAAAGATCGTAGTCCCTCGATGACCCTCAATGTTGCCTTCGGTAAACGATCTCGTCCCTAAACGACATTGCTAAAACGTACCATTGGTTACCTTCTATGACTATACAAACGTCCTGTGCCCGTTCCTTCACATCCAACGATGGGGTTTCTTACCAAAAATAATGGTAAGATAATAACATCTAAAGGAGGAAGAAAAGAACATTTAAAACCTTTTGAGTAGGTAGGTTACTCCTAGTTGCTCGCTTGCTCACAATGAAAACATTTCATACACCAACTGTTGTACCCCAAAATTTTCCCTCTCATTTTATCAAGATTCTCCTTACAAGACTTCTTGGACTCAAGACCAGATTAGAGTTTGCTCAGCTCAAGACCCTATCTTGCACTGATGATCTGAAATTAGGGTTTGAGTTTGCACAAGGATTTTTGGACCATCAATGCTCAATGTGACTTTAAT